TATAGGGCACATGCGCTCGCCAGGAAGACAGAGAGAGACAGAGAGACAGAAAGTGAGAAATCACCCCCCAGGGGGGATGGCCACGCCACAATCCCTTCTCCTCCATTCTCCTCTCGGGATCTTGGGCACGCACGCACATGCATCCGGCATGAGTTTAAGCCACCAGGTCCGCAATGCGAACCATGGTCGACTACAGGGGAGTCCAGCGACATAGCCATTATGCAATCTACTGGTCCCGGATATCATTACCTTCGGATAATACCATCATTAAACTGAGATCCACAGAGCCTAGAATGGAGAGTTTACATTTCCTAAAAGAAACAGTAGTCATTTCTTAGAATAAGAGGAACTCAGAAGAATAAGAACTTACTTTTGAATTATAATTAATAACACAATAGTTTATACAAGCTTTACCTCTTTTGTCACTGAAACGGAAAAGGATACAATGATATTCCAAGGACCAAGTCTTAGCCAATTTGGCCAAAAACCTTTATACAGAGCAGAAAACCCTTCATTCTTCCATGTCTGTTAAGGGGAAAGGGAGAGACATTAAGGAAGGGGATTAACTTCCAACTTTCTAATTATGTCAAATGTACTGCTAATTAGTGGCCAGCCTAATTTATTTTTCTTAAAAATAAAATCCTGTTTAGAAGGACTGTCTAAGAAATCTGTGCTTTCTCTCTCTCTTTGTTCTTTGAAGGCTTCCATGTAAGTGGAAGACTGAGGCTCCCTGCCAAATAACCCCACAGACAAGAATGAAAGAACCCCACAGAAGGCAGACAAACAGTAGTTGAATGACTACGAAATCAGATTTAATTCCAACTGGGATCTTTTGCTATCATGCCATCTGAGTTCCTAAACAGGTCATAAAGAAGCAATGATGATTTAAGATACCCTATAGAGCCCTATTTTTCTAAGTTGTTAGTTGGATAAAAATGATAAGTATCAGGAGCCAGCTCTGCAGCACAGCAGTTAAGTGCTATGCACTAGGAGCCAGATTCCATATGGTGGACCATGGTTCAAATACTGGGCCCAGGAGCTTGACACCAGGTGCGTGTGCATGTATGCCCAAAGTCCAGATGAGATGGAGAAGTGGAGGGAAAAAAAATTGTGGCATGGGCATGCCCCACTTGGGGGGGGGGCTTTCTCTCTCTCTCTGGCAGTGCGCATACCCTCTAGCACTAAAACAAGAAAGAAAAAGAGACAGAAGCACAGGTCTGCTACAATCACAGCAAAGATTACTATTTCCTCACCTCTCACAGCAGAGTAGAGGTATAAAAAAATAAACTTTCGTTTTAAATACTCATCTAGCTTTTATATTTATGAATTTAGCTTTGGTGTGGCAAAAATTATGTAATATATTTTTTTTTAGGGCCAGTGCACTCTCAAAAGAAAGAGAGAGAGAGAGAGAGAGAGGGAGAGAAAGCACCCTCCAATGGGGCGTGGTCACACTGCAATCTCTTCTCCATTTCTTCATTCTGTTGGGATCTGGGGCACGTAAGTACATGAGCCCAACATATGATCAAGTCAGGGACTCAAACCACATGGGCTCATGTAACTTAGTTTAATCGCTTTCATAATTTAGTCACTATTTAGGTCAAGAAATTATATAGTGCACTATGCTGTACATTCCTTCTCACCTGTAACAAGCAATCCAGGCTACCTGTGTAACCAGGGCACCTGCCATCACGAAGAACTCTCTGATTCATCATCCGCGTTCTCACAACGTCCACAGGGTTTGAGGCCAGGGCCCCAGCCAAACCACAGGTGAAACTAGAGCTATGAATATACCATTGGTAAAAACAAAAAGTTAACCACCACTGAGCTATATCAACCATTCCAAAGGCAAGAAACTGCCTCTTCCCAAACTATGTTAAAGTAACATGTAACAATGTGAAATCCATTAAGAAAAGGTTCATATCCAGAGAACTGCACACACTTCTCTTTTTTGTTTTTTGTTTTTTGTTTTTGTTTTTGTGTTTTTGGCATAGGGCACCACACTCACCCAGAGAGAAACAGTGAGAGAAAAAGTGAGAAATCACCCACCAGGGAAAATGGCCACACCACAATCCCTTCTCTTTCATTCTCCTCTTGGGACTTTGGACACATGTGCATACATGCCTGGCATAATTTTCAAGCCGCCAGGTCCAGGACTCAAACCATGGTCAGCCAGGCATAATCTAGCCACCTTAACTACCATGTGCAAATGTCTTAAACGTCAGCACTGATTGTATTGGCCCAAAAGTTCCAGTCACAGCTAAGAATACCTTTGAGGATCTAATGTCAAAGTCTCATAGCAACACGAAGGAACAACCTCCAATGGTGATCTAATTCTTTTATTTACCAAGAGTAGACCACAGGGTTTGAGGCCAGGGCCCCAGCCAAACCACAGGTGAAACTAGAGCTATGAATATACCATTGGTAAAAACAAAAAGTTAACCACCACTGAGCTATATCAACCATTCCAAAGGCAAGAAACTGCCTCTTCCCAAACTATGTTAAAGTAACATGTAACAATGTGAAATCCATTAAGAAAAGGTTCATATCCAGAGAACTGCACACACTTCTCTTTTTTGTTTTTTGTTTTTTGTTTTTGTTTTTGTGTTTTTGGCATAGGGCACCACACTCACCCAGAGAGAAACAGTGAGAGAAAAAGTGAGAAATCACCCACCAGGGAAAATGGCCACACCACAATCCCTTCTCTTTCATTCTCCTCTTGGGACTTTGGACACATGTGCATACATGCCTGGCATGATTTTCAAGCCGCCAGGTCCAGGACTCAAACCATGGTCAGCCAGGCATAATCTAGCCACCTTAACTACCATGTGCAAATGTCTTAAACGTCAGCACTGATTGTATTGGCCCAAAAGTTCCAGTCACAGCTAAGAATACCTTTGAGGATCTAATGTCAAAGTCTCATAGCAACACGAAGGAACAACCTCCAATGGTGATCTAATTCTTTTATTTACCAAGAGTAGACAGTAGGCATTAGAGTAACTCTGGCCAGATCATAATTACACAGGAATCATGTGTTCCTAGAGATAAAAGGATAAGCTCTCCTCCCTGGAATGCCCACCAAAGCTCTTAGGTTCTACTCTATTTTTAGTCTCATAAAACTACAATAGACCACTTTTGGTATCAACTCAGAGCACGGTTCCTCAACCTCAGCACAACTCACATTTTGGACCAGATCGTTCTTCACTGTATAGGTTTCTCTGTGCATTCTAAGCTGTTAGCTGCAGGCCAGCCGGGTGGCCAGCTGCACATGTCAACTGCACAGTCTGAGACCTGTACCCAGCAGCTTAAAAAATGCACTAGGCATGTGTGTGAATGCCCAAAAATTCCCCGAGGAGAATGGAGGAAAATGGACTGTGGTGTCATCACCCCCCCTTTGGGGGGTGCTTTCTAACTTTCTTTCTCTATCTCCTGATGGCACATAAGCCTTATAGAAAATTTTAAAAAAAGAAGAAAAGAGGGACCAGCAGGTGGTGTGGTGGTTAAGGCGGTTAAGGCACTGGACACTCCCACATGGTTGACCATAGTTCAAGTCCCAGACCCAGCTTGCTTTCTAACTTCCCCCCCGTCTCTCTCTCTCTTTCTCTTTCTCTCTGTGTCTTTCTATGGTCAAATTAAAAATAAATGAATGAATAAATAATATTAATAATTCTTTTTTTTTTTTTTGAGAGGTTTTCGCTATAGGGCGCGTGCACTCGCCAGACAGACAGACAGAGACATAGAGACAGAAAGCGAGAAATCACCCCCCAGGGGGGATGGTCACGCCACAGTCTCCTCTCCTCCATTCTCCTCTTGGGATCTTGGGCACGCACGCACACGCGCCGGGTGTGAGTTTTAAGCCACCAGGTCCAGGACGCGAACCACGGTCGACTATGTGGGAGTCCAGGGACATAGCCATTACGCTAACTGCTGGTTCCCAATAAAATGAATAATTCTTAAACAAAAAAAAAAAAAAAGAAGAAAAGAAAATGAAAGAAAAACAATGTTAGCTGCATCATCAGCATCTACCCATTAGGTGGCAGTAGTAGTCCCCCTAATCATGACAATCAGAGTGGGATTTTAGAAAGTAAAATCCTGTTTGGAAGGACTAAGAAATCTTGGACCTCTGTCTTTATCCTTTGAAGGCTTCTGTATAAGGGGAAGACTACAAGTAGTCTCTTAGGGAAAAAACTGTTCCCCATTCTCAACAATGGATAAAATAAGCAATGATATAGACACATAATGTGATAATCAGTAACTACTAAAAATAAATAAAATCTCGGGGCGGCAGGTGGCTTGGTGGTTAAGGACGCAGGACTCCCACATGGCTGACCAAGGTTTCAGTCCCAGACCTGGCAGCTTGCTTTCTCACTTTCTCTCTCTCTGTCTCTCACTCTTTTACTCTATCCCTCTCTGGTCAAATTAAAATAAATAAATAAAGTTAAATAAAATAATTCTTATAAGTAAAGGGACCAGCAATTGGCATAATGGCTATGTCGTTGGACTCCCATGTAGCCAACCGTGGTTTGAGTCCCAGACCTGGCTTAAACTCACATCTGGCGCGTGTGTGTGCGTGCCCAAGATCCCAAGAGGAAAATGGAGGAGAAGGGATTGGGCATGGCCATCCCCCCTGGGGGTAGAATTCTCGCTTTCTTTCTCTCTCTCTGTCTCTCTGTCTTTCTGGCGAGCACATGCACCCTATAACAAAAACCTCTCCAAAAAATAAATGAATGAATGAATGAATAAAGTCTGTAAGTACTGCCCTGGAAAGACACTTGGACTATATTGTTAAATTTCAAAAAGCAAATAGAAAATGCAAGGCATGATCTTATTTGTATGATAAAGAATGTAACATACTTTCATATACATTTAGATGCACATGGAAAACACCTAGAAGACACATATCTGTTCATAAATAACTGTGTAAAGGGATAGGGTTTTTACTTTGTCTTACTTCACTTCTGAATTGTAATTTTTCAAGTATGAGAATACTTTCATAAAAATGTCATAATTCTATACCTAATTTCCACCCTAAACTCATGCATACCTATATTATTATTTTTTTTAAATCCATAAACATACAGGAAGTGGGTATAGACAGTGTCTCCCATCAGGCCCGAGAGAATCAGATGCTTCTTGGTGATGTCATAGACCGGCAGCTCCACACCAACAACAATAGCAGCCCTCTGAGCAGTCAGGGACACTCCCTGGGTGAAAATATTAACAATAAAAAGAATTCAGTGAGTTTGCAACAGAAATTTATTTTACCAATGTTTTCTGAATAAACTGAAAAAAAACTTTTTTAATTAAATTAAAGCCCCCAAAACAAAACCAAAAAAAAAAAAAAAAAGATTTAGATATACCCCCGTAGACTAAGTCCTGCAAACGTCCCAAGGGGCAACTCCATAAACCGTGACCAATTTTTATGTTTTCCTGCTCATGGGTAGAAATGTGGAGTGACAGAGTGGAAAAGACGACAGAGCAAGAACTCAAAAGCTCTGAAGCCTAAGTTTTACTCTGGCACTGACAGTATGACTTTGGGCCAGACGCTTGGCTAGGACAAGCCACCTCTCAGAGTCTCCAGTTTCCTTACACATACCAAGAGATCATGCTGGATGATCTTTAGGGTCGCTTCTACGAACTGACGAGGCATCAGAATATTAGGAAATAGTACTTCAGGCCAACATTTGCCTAAGACCACAGCCTTCACTTAAAGGCCATGAAATCATCCAGACCAAAACACCCAATGTAACTATAGCCTAGAAACCTCCATAAGAATTAAAAAAAAAAAAGTTAACAAAAGAGAAAGTGCTTAGCTGTCACAGAATATCTTATACATAGATTATTCAAATGGTACTTTAAAATTATGATAGATCCTTTCTATTCCCATTTTATAGATAGGACAATTATGGACAACAGTATCTGCAAGGACAGAAGATGTCCTTATTCCCTTACTCCTTTCTGCCACCTGGAATAAAGAAAAGTGATGAGAATAGGAACAAGGAAGTGGAAAAAGAAAAATAGGTAAGAAAAGTTCAGTCGGCTGGATTTGTTTTCAAGCTCACCTTCCACAGTCCTCTGGTCCCCTCCTGCTGGTAAATGTTCAGGAAGTTGCCTATCATGCCCCCCTGAAGGGTGCCGCTTTGTGCCTGCATCCGGATCTAGAGGTGAGTTACAGACCAATGAGAGGAGAGAACTAGCCCATTCCCTCACATCCCCCCAGGCAACACATACCTCTGAAAATCAATCTGCTGCTTAATGATCAATAACAGAAAAAAACTGTAATATAAACATTACTGTGATGATACTTGCAAATGTCCTGGGTAGATTAAAAATATATTGGATTGCTTCTTAAGAAATCTGGACTCTATGGGGCCAGCAAGAGGCATGGTGGTTAGTTAAGGTGCTGGACTCCCATGTGGCCGACCATGGTCTGAATACCATACTTGGCGGCTTGCTTTCTCGCTTTCCCTCTCTCTCTTAAATAAGTAATTCTTAAAAAAAAAAAAAAAAAAAAAAAAAAAAAGCTGGACTTTCTACAAAGTAACCAATAGCATCCAGTAGTATTTAAGTGTTAAAATAGAAATTCTTTTTAACATTTTTTTTGAAAAGGATATAAAAATAGCCTATTTCCCTATGGTTACTAAGTAGCAAAGAGGAAATGATGGCTGGGCTGGCTGGTAACATGGTGGTTAAGCTGCTGAATCCCACCTGGTTAAGTCCTGACCCATGGCTTGAGAAACGTGCCAAGCGAACAAAACCCCAAAGGAAGGGAAAAATGGAGGAGAAGCGATTGAAGAGTGACCATTCCCCATGAGGGGTTTACTCTTTCTCTCTCTCTCTCTCTCCCTCTCTCATGAGAACTCATGCTCTCTGGCAAATTAAAAAAAAAACCATGATGGTCATCTAAAAAGATTTAATGTAATTAATCAGAGTATCTGGTGTCCTCAGCTGCACTGGGCATGGGCAAACACAATTCTTAAATTAACTATGCCAAGCTACTACTGTTTCCTACTATCTGAACCAAAAGGTATGCAGGCAAGCAGACATGGAATGGTCACAAGGTACTTGTCACACTCTGTTACGCTCGAACCTACTGGTGACCTTCACAACAGCTCCATGACCCAAATTCCAGCATAAATGTAATGCTTGATGTAGCTCTTTCATTTTTAAGAATGAAAAAGGACTTTTCACTAAAAAATTGGTACTTTATTTTTGTTTATGGAGTAAATACACTAACTTTTTTTTTAGGTGTTTTTGTTGTTGTTTCCTTCTTCCTTTTTTTATTTTAGTTATTTATTTGCCATAGCGCACTTGCTGGAAAGAGACAGACAGAGAGAGATAGGAAAAGTGAGAAATCATCCCCCAGGGGGGATGGCCATGCAGCAATCCCTTCTCTTCCATTCTCCTTTTGAGATTTTGGGCATGCACGCACACATGCCTGGCTTGATTTTTCAAGCCACCAAGTCCAGGACTCAAATTGCGGTCAGCCATGTTACTACATGTTACCACAACTCAGAACCTTTACCACCACGCCACCTGCTGGCCACAGCCCATCTATTTTTAATAAACTGCCACCACGTGGGATATTTCCAATGAAAAATAATGAAAAATGAAAAAAATAAATCGAACGCATCTAAGCCCAAATTTTCTGCTCAGTCACCAAGATCCTTGTCTCCAAAATGAATTCTACTTTGAGCTTGTCTGTATCCACTGGAAATTCACTTACTGAATATTTAAAAGTTAATGGGCCAGAACCAGCAGTTAGCATAATGGCTGTGTCGCTGGACTCCCACGTAGTCGACCGCGGTTCGTGTCCTGGACCCGGTGGCTTAAAACTCACGCCGGGCGGGTGGGCGTGCGTGCCCAAGATCCCGAGCGGAGAATGGAGGAGAAGGGATTGCAGCGTGACCATCCCCCCTGGGGGGGGATTTCTCGCTTTCTGTCTCTCTGTCTCTCTCTGTCTGTCTGGCGAGCGCACGCGCCCTATAGCAAAAACCTCTCCAAAAAAAAAAAAAAAAAGTTAATGGGCCAGCAGGTGGCATGGGGGTTACATTGCTGGACTCGTACATGGCTGACCGTGGTTCAAGTCCTAGACCAGTGGTGTGAAGATCATGCCAGGCGAGTGTCGGTACATGCCTAAGATCCCAGAAGAGTGGAGGAGAAGGGGTTGCAGCATGGCCATCCCCCCCCGGGTGGTGATTTCTCATTTTCCCTCTCACTATCTCTAGCTCTGTGTGTTCTTCTGGGAGCACACATGCCCTAAGTCAAAAACTTCTTAATAAATAAATAAATAAAGTTAAAATATTTTATTAACTTGATTTATTTATTTCATGAGAGTGAGAGACAGAGAAACACAAGCACCCTCAACATGGTCCATCCTACGACTCCCCACTCCCAGCCTTCCCAGCCAGCCAGGGTCAAGTGCATGCCCAGCATGTACAGGTTGACCAAGGAACCAACATCACAATCTTCCACATGGATCCAGCATCACTTCAATCCCACATTACCACCACGCCACTGAGCCAGCCCTGAAAGTTAGAATCTTCATGTTGGGACCAGCAGGTAGCATGGACGTTAAGGTACTAGATCCCACATGACTGACTGCGAGGTTCATGTCCTGAACCCAGTGGCTTGAAAAAAATCACGCTGGGTATATGTACGTGTTTGCCCAACATCCCGAGAAGAGACAAAGGGATTGCTGCATGTCCAGCCCCCCGGAGGGAGTGAGTGGGTGGTGATTTCCCATGTTCTCTCTCTCTGGAGAGTGCAAACACTCTACAGCAAAAACAAACAAACAAACAAAAACCCTTTATAGTACTTAAATTATAAACATATCATATACATACAGCATATTAGCATATGTTATAGTCATGGATTTTCATTACCAAAATGCTTTCAATAAGAAAATGTAGACTGTGTCTATAAGATATAAGTAGCACAGCTTACTTTCAAAACATCGGTAGGATTAGCAATGGCTGAGGATATGACTCCAGAGAGAATTCCACATATGACGTTTATCAGTAGAGTTTCATCTGTAAACAAAGGCATATTATTGGACTTTTCCTATACAGAGAGCTCTACCTGTGGGTAGCTGAAACATAGTACTCATTTATATACTACTTGTTCACCTTAAGATTTACCCAAAAAAGTCTGCTTTATGAACCAAGTAATTTTAAAAGGAATTTTGCTGACTAAAGGGATTTTGCTTAGCAAAATTTTTTGCTTTTCTAGAAAAGAATGTGAATCATCATGCAAAGTGAACACCCATCCATGTTTGTGTGTAAATTCAGACCATAATTAAAATGAGATGTATCTGTCAGAAGAGTAGAAAAGACACATTTCTAATGAGATAACATGGATATTTATTTGGCAAAGAAAGTTACAATGCATATGATATGTATTTAGTTTGAAATACTTCTAAAGCATCTTAGCTCCTCTTCACCATTCTCAAATAATAGTGACTAGTGTTTGACCCATCACAAAAAACAGAAAGTTCTATAGGTAGGCCAGCTGGTAGCATAGTGGTTAAGGTACTAGATCCCAACAACCCACTATGTGGTTCAGTTCCTGGACCCAGCAGCTTGAAAAGCACCCCAGGTGCATGTGCATGCATGCCCAAAATCTCAAGAAAAGAATGAAGGAGAAGGAATTATGACATGGCCATGCCCCTCGGGGATGATTTCTCACTTTCTCTCTATTTCTTTCTGGAAAATGCATACACCTTATAGCAAACACTAAAAAGGAAAGAAAAGAAAGTTCTACAGGTTAAAATTAAGTCACTGAAGCAACAAGTCAGAATATTAGAACCAGAGTTCTTAATACTAAGAAATGTATTTAATGCTTCCCTGAAAAATAGGCAATAACTTGCACACTTCTAGAAAATGTTAATTGAACTAAAACTATGCTATGTCCTCTAACACAGGCAGTTTGGAGGTGAGCACAACTAATCAAACTGTCTGTAGAGATTGCTTCTTTTAAGTGTCAGTCCCCTCAAATCAGCTGCTGGCTTGCTTTAAGCACAAGTCAATCAGACTTCACACCCGCAGTTCTCCTTAGCCATAGTAAAATCACAACAGGCTGAAGAAAATCTACTCTAAAACCACTTGATTAAGAAGACAAACAACCCACCTGCTGTCCACAGTGGAACCCAGACCCCCACTCACCTTCTGGGCGTTCAACAAATAACCGCTTCAAGCTCTGGTAAGTGCCTATCTTGATGGTGCCATAGGAAGCCTGGCGTAACATCGCAGGCGCAATTCTGTCAAAACCACGTACAAAAAGGGGGAAAACAACGTAAAAAATCACTGAGAAGCCTACAGAAGACCAACACACACAGGTATAAGCACTCATGTGTCTGCCACAACCAAACTACACTAAAACAGACTTCTGAAAAATTCAAGAACCAACAAAAATACAAGTGGGCTCACTTAGATTTGTGCAAATTCTTAGTGCAAACTGGACTCCTCATATCCATCCTCAGTGAAAATGTAAGTGAATGTGCGCTTCATTCGCCCATTCATGCTCAAAGACAGTCTTCCTTTCCCAACCGGCACCTGGTGAGATCTGGCTTTATCCAGGTATACCTTAAACAGCTGTAATCTTCCGCTGTTGCCCTAGGGGTACCTCCTACCTCCTCAAAGGCCCTGTTTCAGTTACTTCCTTTCACTAAAAGTCTTCCCACAGCAGTACTGAAATAAGTTCAAGACACTGCACCAGAAACACAAATTAACTTCCCTCCAGCCCATACGCCCCGCCAACCAACCACCCCGTGGCATTTACACTCCCCGCTCTTTCTGTAGCTTCCTACTTCCTCCTCAAACTGCAGTCTCATTTCCCCAACCCAGTCCCTCACAACTCCCCTCGGGAGACTGACAACTGACAACAAGGTGACAACTGACAAGAATGCTGCTAAGTTAAAGGACACTTTTTTAAAAAGAGGTTTTTTCCTTTAGGGCCACCAGAGAGAGACAGAGACAGTGACAGAGAATGTGAGAAATCACCCCGCAGGGAGGATGGCCATGCTACGATCCCTTCTCCTCCATTCTCCTCCTGGGATCTTGGGCACACGTGCCCAATGTGAGTTTCAAGTGACTGGGTCCAGGACTAGAACTGCAGTCAGCCATGTGGGACTCCAGTGACGTAATCACATGCCATCTGCTGGTCTGGTCCCTAGAGGACTCTTTTCAAGTAATATCTTGCATAACTTGGCACATCTGCCACTATCCCCCACCCCTTTGTCCTGTTTGTAGCTGTCTCCTCTCAGACCTGCTGTAACTTCACCCTCTCCCACTTCTTTTTTATACAGCTTCCTACCTGTGTCCTCTAAGGGTCCCCCAAATTCTACCCTGCACTGCTTCCCCCCTTGCTTCACCCACTCCCAGGGTGAGCTCATCTACTCTTGAGGCTTCAACCACTGTCTGAAGACTGAAGACTCGTAAATGCATGTTTCCAATGCTGATCTTCCACCTGATCCAAAGACACATTTCCCACTGCTCCTTGGAGTTCCAGTACTACAGATGTCTACGTCTACCTCCAGATCGGGAGTCCCATACAGCTACTGTCTTCCTTCTCCTAACAATTAGTTCTGTTCCTCTGTCTCCTAGACCAGGGAATGGAACTTGCAGCCACACACTGGCCAAAACCAGAAACCAAGACATCAGCCTTGTCTTCTCCTCCTACACTATTCCTCACATAGGCCCATCACATATTATGTCACTTACTGACCCTACAACCCAGCCTGTCTTCTTTCTGACTATCTCCAAGATCAAGACTTCAGTTCAGATCCTCACCCCTGCTTCTTGTGTTGCCATCTCCAAGTTCTTTTCCCCATGGAAATACTTCTAAAGCATCTTAGCTCCTCTTCACCATTCTCAAATAATAGTGACTAGTGCTTGACCCATCGCAAAAAAACAGAAAGTTCTATAGGTAGGTCAGCTGGCGGCATAGTGGTTAACGTACTAGATCCCAACAACCCACTATTTTTTTATTTATTTTATTTATTTTTTTAAGGTTTTGGCCATAGGGCACATGCATTTGCCAGAGAGAGAGAGAGAGACAGTGAGAGGGAAAGCAAGAAATCACTGCAGGGTGGAGGGCCACACTGCAATTTCTTCTCCTCTGTTCTTTTACTGGGATCTTGGGCATCACACATGCTTTGTATGATTTTCAAGCCTCCAGGTCCGAGACTCAAATTGCAGTAGCCATGAGGGAGTCCAGTGCTGTAACCACTATAACACCTGCTGGGCCCACAGAGCCAACTCTGAACAATGGAAACCATCTTAGTCCTCCTAATTAAAACCCTTAAAACCATTCAGTGGCTTCTGTCTGCCATAAGCATCATGAACTCAAATACGAACCAGGCAGATGACATGAGTGACTAAAGCAGGCTGGGTCTACATGCTCACACATACACTACGTGAGTGTCAAAGGCTTTGTAAACCAGAGAACGTATCCTTAACTCCTGCTACTACTGTTAGCAGTTAATGAACGTGAGCCTGATATTGATTTTCCTGGAACAGACAAAATCCCGGATTTTTATGTGCCATTTCTTATTTTTTTAATAATTATTTTATTTTACTTTATTTATTTATTTTAATTTGACCAGAGAGACACAGAGAGAGAGAGGAGGAGAGAGAGGGAAAGTGAGAAAGAAGTCACCAGGTCCGGGACTTGAACTGCAGTCAGCCATGTGGGAGTCCAGTGCCCTTAACCACCATGCCACCTGCTGGCCCCCCATTTCTCATTTTTAAAATAGTGGCTCATTGGGGGCTGGCAGGTGGCATGGTGGTTAAGGGCGCTGGACTCCCACATGGCCGATTATGGCTTGCTTTCTCACTTTTCCATTCTTCCTCTCTCTCTAGTGAGTGCACGTGCCCTACGGAAAATTAAAATAATACCTCTCTGGTCAAATTTAAAAAAAAGGTAAGTAAAGAAAAAAAGTTAAATAAAGTAATTCTTAAAAAAAAAAAATAAATAATAGTAGCTCAGGGGCCAGCAGGTGGCAGGATGATTAAAGGCTCAGGACTCCCATATGGCCAACTGCAGTTCAAGTCCCTGGCAGCTTGCTTTCTCACTTTTCCTTTTTCTCTCTTCTCTCTCTGTCTCTCTCTGGTGAAATTTAAAAAATAGTGGCTCAACTGAAAAACAAAAACTCTCAGGGATCAGTGGGCCCGCAGAGGGGCTGTGGGCCACCAGTTTGCAACCTGTGGTGCACTAGATAAAATCAAGATCTTTGCATAGCATAAGGCTGTTCATGTCTTCACCCCTCGTTACTACTCTGGTTCTATCTCTTGCTACTCATTAACTCCCACATGATATCCTAGCTGAATTACTTGGTATTCTAGAATGTTCTATGTTCTAATGCACATACTGCTGACTCTGTACAAATATTATTTCCCTCTAACCTCACCTGGCTAACTCTACTTGATCCTTCAAAGATCCAGTACCTCTTAAACCCAACAGCTTCCCAGAAAAATTCTCCACCCCTTATCCTCCAAGTCTGGGAATGATGCCCTCTCTCTGCCATCATAACCCCCTGCTAAGACGTCTGTAGTCCCCACTAAATGACAAATCCTTAATAGTGGGCTAGTGCTAATCATCCCCAGTAGTTTTCCCAGATCCATTCTTACTTTCTGTTCCCTGAGAGGCTGATGATCCAGGTGGGTTCAACCAATGGGAAAGACGGGAGCAAAAGAAAGAGGAAAAAGTAGAGGATTTCTTCCTCTCCCTAAGCACTACCAAGGCACCCAACAACTACTGTCCTCTCCTGCAAGGTCCAGCCCTAGTGGGCTCTAGTAGCACTATTTATGCCCTTGTCCATTTGGGCCCAGGGTTGGCATTAATAATAACTTCTCAATTTGCTAGTTTCTAGGTATCTCAATATCTATTTTTATTTGCTCCATTAACCCTTTTTTTTGGCTTTGTTTTATTGCCAAAATGCACATGTGCTTGCCAGAGAGAGCGAAAGAGAAAGCACCACTTCCAATGGGGTGGAGTCACTCCACAATCCTTTTTCCTCCATTTCTCAATCCCATCCAAGATTATGGGCATGCACACACATACCCAGTGCCAGGGCTGGAATGAGAACTGGGGTCAGCCATGTGGGATCCTGGTCCTTATGCAGAGGACTTAACTGCTACACTATGGGACTGGCCCTGTTCCATTAACCCTTAAACCTTAAATACTCCTTTCATTTAAGTCTCTTCATTTAAATCACCCAAGTGAACTCTGTTTCTGACAGTGGCACTGACTGATACAGGCAGGACCTACTCTTACAAACTTTCCCGCCCAGAGGCTAGAGAACACTGCTTGTTAACTGCTGAGAGACAGGGATTCATGGCAACTCCTACCCATTCTGTCACATTCATTATGGCAAAAACCTTGATAACTCAGAAGAACTAAGAAAAAGGGCTATTTCCAAAGAGCAAAGAACTGAATAACAGGATGTTTAAAATAAATGTAAGTTTTGGGGGCCAGCAGGTGGTGTGGTGGTTAAGAGTGCTGGACTCCCACATGGCGACCATGGTTTGAATCCCAGAGCTGGCAGCTTGCTTTCTCACTTTTTCTCTCTCTCCCTCTATCCTTCTCTGGTCAAATTAAACTAAATAAATAATAAAATAATTCTTTAAAAAAAAAAAAAAAAAAAAAAGAGAAAGTTGGAGTAAAAAGCAAAAATACTACCATGCTAATCACTCTTTTCAAATATACCTCAACATTTTACATTTTCTCTATTAAGTCTTAATCTTAAATCTATCTATTTCAAAGGAGAAACAGTGAAATATAAACGCACGAAGGTCTACTCACCCAGAGTACAGTGCTTTCAGCCCTTCTTCTTTGCCTATCCTCACTAAAGCGTGTACCATTCCTCGATACCTAATCTCTTTAAAATTTGCATCATTCGTCTGGCCTTGAATCTGGAGCCGTGTCTTGGTTAAATCAATTGGAAATGTACCTTAACATTTTAAAGAAAGAAACATTTCACTTAATAAAAAGAAACCACTAAATAAAGGACACATAGTTATTGTCACCTAGGAAATACACACGCTATAATGTGCCATTAAGAAATGGCGGACGCAATTTTTTTTCTATTTAAAACAATGATTCATAAAATTAAAATATGCACAAATGTATTTTCCTTTCTTTAGACTTTTACATATGCCCCATCTTACTCTACATAAACAGAAACTCTCTTGGGTTGTTGGAAAAGTCATGAAGCATTTTTGCAAAGAAAAACATAGAAAAAAAATGTTACCACTTTTTTGATAACCCAATATTTAAAACCCTAAGTTTTTAAATACTACATACTTTCCCCTACTTACAATGGTCTGAATTACAATTTTTTGACCATACGATGCTACAAGAGTGATACACATTCAGCAGAAACCATATCTCCAGTACCTGTATAACCATTATTTTTTACTTTCAGTCCAATATGTGATAACATGAGATAGTAAACATTTCACTACAAAACAGGCTTTGTGTTAAGTGATCTTGCCCAGCTGTAGGCTAACCTAACTGTTCTGAGTACATTTAAGGTAGGCTAGGCTAAGCTATGATGTTTGGTAGGTAAGGTGTACTAAATGCAATTATTTTCAACTTACAATGGGTTTATTAGAATGCGATTCCATCAGATGTTGAGGAGCATCTGTATTTTTTATATATGTGAAAGCTAAAATTGGACTGAATGTGAATGAATAAAGGTTTAAAAAGTTCATTTTCTAAATGACTTTCTCACTGAGGAAGGAATATTTTATGGTATAAAATTAAATCTGATTATGCAAGTAAAAATGTTTCGGACAGTACCTAACAGTTCACTCAAATATAGAAAACCCATTCTTAGACAGAAACCTTGATTCACTGGGTCAAAGGTAAAGCCTACAAGCACACTAGGGGATGGTTAATGTGTTTTCCAGAATGATTGAGCCCTGGAGGCCAATGAAGTGTCCAGCCCAGCAACAGGTGCTCAGAAGCTGCACAATGCATATGTGTTGGGCCCACCCTCAGTGCAGCTAAGTGCATACCAGACTGCAGACAGAGCTGGAAGCCACAAGCCAACCATAGTGCAGGTCCCTGGCCTGCTCAAGTTCCCTGCCTGCTCAGCCTGAAAACACACGGGGCATCCATGCACATGCCCAGGATGCTGGCAGGTTGGAGGACTGGAGGAAGGGGATCTCAGTGTGACAGAGCTCCACGAAAGGTATTTCTCTCTCCCTTTCCTTCCCTGTCTTGTGTGTGTGCATGTGCTTTATGATAAGTACTTTTTTTTAATTAATATTTGTCGAATGAATAATTCTAGAGAATAAACACAGGAGCAAACATATTCAGATGTGGAACTCCACTAACGAGGAAGTTGAAAAGAGGATCTAGCCAATGTATATAATTAGACAGTGATTAAATAATTACAATCTAATCTGGCTCAGAGAAGCCCTTGAGCTTCTCAAATCTCTTCATGGCCAAATGTGTTAACAGTGGCAAAGTGGGGGAAGGGACAAGAAAAATAGAGACAGATGCAATCCAAAACTGATTCATAAAACTTCTGTTTGGTCAACAGGTTCGACTTTCTCCCTACTGAACTTTAAAACCTAAACTGCTAATAGGCAGCCAAAATGACTATTCTGTCTTAAAAACAAACCGAAAGAAGACGTCATTGCATTCCGGGATTAATGTTTCCTAAGTTCACACCATGCACTGGAACTACATTCACATGCAGCAGCCAACGCAACGCCAGCACCCTGGCTCCTTACCGCATTCGGCCGTGATGGAGGCCAGCCCTCCATACACGAACGGCTTCCAGCTCAGGGCTGACATGTTCACACGTCCCTTTTCCTCGGAGTCACAGGAACATCGTCTTCAACAGGGTTTCTCCTGGACATAACAGAGACAGTCCCCAGGTATGACTTCTCACACAGGCAGTTTCTTCTCTAAACTCTTTCCTTTATTTGGATTGTGTTATCAGATATAATCACGGAAATCCAACCACCCACCCACCCACCCACTCAGTCCTGCCCCTGCAACAATTCCCAAGGGCAGACCTTAATAAAGCACAACACCTCTATCTGCTAAGCCCCAAATCAGCCATTTCAATCTCACTTTATCAGGTGCCGTAATTTTCACCCAACCCTCAAGAAATAATCTACTGGGAACCAGCAGTTAGCGTAATGGCTATGTCACTGGACTCCCACATAGTCGACCACGCGCGGTTCACCTCCCGGACCCAGTGGCTTAAAACTCACGCCAGGCGCATGAGCGTGCGTACCCAAGATCCCGAGAGGAGAATGGAGGAGAATGGCCATCCCCTCTGGGGGGTGATTTCTCGCTTTCTGTCTCTATGTCTCTCTCTGTCTGTCTGGTGAGCACACGTGCCCTACAGCGAAAATCTCTCCAAAAAAAATAATAATAATCTACTATGCTGATAACTTGATATATGTGTATATACATTCAGCACTGTGCAATCCACAGTGTTTTCTGAGTAGGCTATTTTGACCTTAAATCTGTTCTTCACCCCAAAGTAATTGCTGTTTGGTTGGCACTGAGTTAGTGAGTACCTACCGGGAAGCATCACATTTCTCAGGAGCAATGGAGCAGAAAAATGGCACAAACCTGTGTATAGGGTAAATGACAATTACTTACAACATGCTCCTTTTAGATAAGTTTGTGTCAGCATTTTTCTCTTAGCTGGAAGAGAAATTATTATTCTTAATAGCTGGAAGCAGCTTGGCATGAGGGGAGAGGCAGATTTGGGTCAGAGCCACATGACTTCCTTCCAAAGGAAGTTCCCGCTCATCTCTGAGTCTAGGCTTTTCCTTCATCAACGCTATCATCATCACAGAAGCCAATACAATCAGTTGGGGCAGAACTCAAACTTTATTCACTAGGCCAAATGAAATGGCTAACTTAGGCCTACTGTGGGGATTAAACACTATAGAGTCATGGACCACATAGCAACGTTTCGGTCAATGAAATATGTCGGCGGTCCCAAAGGGAGCATAAAGGCCATGCCATACATCCTAGGTGTGTAGCAGGTATTCCATATCGGTCTGTGTAAGCATCCTGTATGATGTTCCCACAACAAATTGGCCTAACAATGCATTTCTCAGAATGCATCCCATTGTGAAGCAACGCACGACGGCATTTTAAAGACCCTCCACAAGTGCTGCCTTCCATCCTCTTTCAACTTAGCAGGTCCTTGCTCACTTGCATATACTCACAGGCAAGACATAGCCCAACTCCTTCCCATTCTGTAGTTACATGGGTTTCGAGTCAGTAAATTCGCCCTTGTGCCGAGGGCACAATAATAACCATAAAAGATACTTAGAGAGAGAAGCTACCATCACATCACTTTTATCAGTATATTGTTATAATTTTTCTAATATTATCGCTAATCTCTTAAAGTGCTTAACCTATAAATAAAACTTTATCACAGAGTATGTAGGAAAAAAACATAGTATATACAGGGGTCAGGACTAATCATGGTTTCAGGCATCCACTAGGGGTCTGGGAACATATTTCCCTGGATAAGAGGGGACACTACTGTAATTCTTAAGCTGGTGCAGAGGTTTTTAAAAGTGCAGACCCCAATGCTCCACCTATTGAATTAGGATCTCAGAGATAAAGCCCAAGTATCTGTGCTCTTGATGAAAATCAATGAATTTAAAAAAATGACTGCCAGGCCCAGCACGTGTTGTGGTGATTAAGGACACCGGAGTCCCACATGGCCGACTGCGGTTTGAGTCCCAGACATGGCGGCTTGCTTTCTCTTCTCTCTCGCTCTTGCTCTGTCCTCCTCTCTGCTCAAATTAAAATAAATAAATAAAGTTAAATAAAATAATTTTTATTTTAAAAAAACGACTGCCAATTCATACCATGGGACACTGTGGGCACATAAATTCCTACTTAAGTAGTTAATTTTTAATAATGGCAATACAATTGGGTCTTCTTTTTATTGGTCTTAATTTTTTTGTTTGTTTTTTTGTTTTAAGAGAGATTTTTCCAACAAGGTGTGCATGATCGCTGGAAAAAGAGAGAGAGAGACAGAAAGCAATAAATCACCTCCTGGGGGGATGGCCACTCCACAATCCCTTCTCCATGCTCCTCCTGGAATTTGTGGCATGCACACATGTGCCCAATGTGAGTTTTAAGCCACCAGGTCTAGGACTTGAACAGAAGTCAACTACGTGAGAGTCCAGTGACATAACCATTATGCCATCTGTTGGTCCCATTTATTGGTCTCATTTAAAAATGACTTTTTTTTTTTCAGGGGCCAGCAGGTAGCCCAGAGATTAAGACACTAGATCCCACATGCCCAACTGTGTGGTTCAATCCTAGACCTAGAGGCTTAAAAAACATACCAGGCATGTGTACTTGTGTGCCTAAAATCCCAAGAAGAATGGAAGAGAAGGGGTTGGTGGCATGGCCATCACCCCAGAAGGTGATTTCTCATTTTCCCTCTCTTTCTCTATGTCTCTCGCCAACAAACGCAAACATCCTATAGCAAAAAAAAAAAAAAAAAAAAAAAAACCACCCTTTTTCTGCAATAAAACATATGTATGTATGTAGAGATATACATGTGCCCACCACACACATGCATGCATAGAAGATACCCTCTAAAATGTCAGCAAGACTTAATGAGAATTGGGATTTTAATTGAGCTCTCATTTAAAACAAATTTTTTTAGACTAGACTGCCATGTGACCTCATTCTGTCTTACTAATTAACCTTCTAGTTTTATACCACTACTTTAATTTGTTTTGCTAGTTTAGTTTTAACGAGATTTGGCTACTCTCCCTCTGTCAGCTTTGATATTAAGTTTTTAGTTAGATTAAAAGCTAGAGGCACTGGAGTAATCTGTAGTCATATGCAAGTACTCAACAAGAGCTTGACATTTTTGCCAAATTGTCTCCTCACAGTTTCCTCATAGTTTTTAATCACATGAGAGAGCTCACATACCATTCGTTCCCACTCAGATACATGGCCAGAATAAAACTTACCTTCTGCAAGTATGCGGTGCCCACTACTACATCAGCATCCCTGGCTAAACTTTAAGAAAGTATTTTCTATTCAATTACAGGTTTTAAAAGTTATTTAGTAAGAGAGTTAAAAACTTTTTGCCTCTTATTTTTTCCTTTCCAAATACTGTTACTAGATCCCTAAGCAGTTAAGACTTCTGGGCCTTCCCAAGTAAAAGCTAGCAAGTTAAAGAATAATTTGGCTTAAATAAGAACCAAGAGCACCTCAGCAGTTAGACAAACATCCAAAGAAAAGGTCCTAGGTAAGAATGAAATGGGTGGATAGTAATGTCTTTGTCTTGGCTGATATGCATAGTAATCAGGCTGGAAAAAGAAATGTTGTACGTTGTAAAGACATACATGATTGGGACCAGCAGTTGGCATAATGGCTATGTTGCTGGACTCTCATCTAGTCGACCCCGGTTTGAGTCCTGGACCAACTCACACCGAATACGTGTGTGCATGTGCTGAAGATCCTGAGAGGAGAATGGAGAAGGGATTGAGGCATGGCCATCCCCCCTAGGGGGAGATTTCTTGCTTAGTGTCTCTCTCTGGCTTTCTGGGGAGTGCATGCGCCCTATAGCAAAAACCTCTCAAATATATACATACATATATATATATATATATAAAATGTAATATTAAAAAACTAATAATAATAAAAAAGAGAATGGAATGGGTGACCATACACTGGACTGGCTACGCTGTACCGACCACAGCAAGATGGTGGGCCTTCACTTATCATAGACTAAAATCTCTCTACAGTAAACTAGCCCATTTCTTACTTTCTGAGCTCTCTTGGAAGAATTCTTCCCACACGCATTCCTCGACTTCCAACCATAGTTGTTGTTTTTGAATATAGGACGTGTGCACTCGCCAGAAAGACAGAAACAGACAGTGAGAAATCACGCCCCCCCACCGGGAGGGGGGGAAGATGGCCACGCCACAATCCCTTCTCCTTCATTCTCCTCTCGGGACCTTGGGCACGCACACACATGCATCTGGCATGAGTTTAAGCCACCGGGTCCGGGACTCGAACTCTGGTCAACTACATGGGGGTACAGCAACATAGCCATTACGCCAACTGCTGGTCTCCCAACCATAGTTTTTTGTCCTTTTTTTCCTTTTCTTTTCTTTCTTTTTAAATTTTTTTCCAAATTCCCAACTCTGTGGATTGAAGTGACAAGACATTCAGATTAACATGTCTTCAGCAGTCAGTAGTGTCTGGACAGCATCTTAGTCCCAGATTCAGGGAAATAACTAAGGAGAAATTCCACCATCAGGCAGTGGATGCAGATCATTCTCGACTTTGCAGTTCCCTTCCTACTAAATATATTCTTAAGCCGGACTAAAACCCAGGGTGAGGCTACTCTCCGCTTCATTATGAATACAGTACTAACAATAGCTATCAATTCCAAATACCAGAGGTTGGTCATTGCTCTACATTTTTCACACGAAGACTTTACTACGTAATTTTCACAATCCTATGACATAGGCCTCATTATCCATGCACATTTCACAGCTAAGGAAACACTACCTCAGAGAGGAAAAACAACTTTCCTCAGTCTCTCCACAGGATGGCACATTTTTTCCTCTATGTTCTACTCTGCAGCCAAGCACTATCTTCCAAAGGCTGCTAAAAATATTGGTGGATGAGAGGATAGCAAAGACTATAGATCTAGAATAAATGAAGGATTTGTCCACAGGGGAAAATACAAAACTTTCTACTTAAAAAATGTTTTCTGAATGAACATGTCTACATATATTAAAAATTCCAAAGGATTCTCTCCATACCTAAAGTATATGCTAAGTTACACATGCTGTCTACTCAATTTTTAAAAAATCAATTTATTTCTTCTCTAGAGACAAGAAAACAGACACAGGCACCCCTAACTGGGTCTCCACTCTGTGACGCACCCATCTCGGCTGACCTAAATCATGGATGCACATGCGTGTGTCCAGTGTGCTCAGGGAGGCCCCAGGAGGACCCAGCTTTCACATGTGGGTCCCAGCTGTATTACAACCCACCACCACCTGGCCCCTACATTTTCTCTTATACCGTTACTTAGCATTTATTTTCTCCTGACCTCACCTGTACAGCTATAGAGGGGTAATTAAATACAGTGCATATCCGTGGCTGGTACTTTTGAAAATTCTCCAAGTTCTCTTATAAAATTAATCCGTGATAAATTCTTTCAATCTTACTTGGTGTTCCCTTTACCATCTATAAATCTTTAAATGTAAACAGTCTCTAAACTTCCGTGCTCTCAAAAATCTGTTCCCTGACACGCTGCCCTTTCATGAACTTTCCTATTTCCTATTCTTTTTTTAAAAGTGCAGAACAAAAAATAAACTTACCTTACTGGGGTTTAAAAGGAATCTTAGATTCGTATCTCATTTCACATGCATTAACTGAGTCCAGGGTCACAAAGTTTAGCAGCGGCAAAGCCAAAAGCAGAATTCATGCTTTTCAGCCTTCTCACTACACAATAGGGCGCACCTACAGTCTGCAGGGCAGCTCCGACATTGTTTAGCTATTCTTCCGCAGAAACAGAAACAGTAAAGTTGATCTTAGGCAAGTGCTTTTCATGAAACTATGAGAAAGACCTTAAAACTACATTACTTGCGCAAATGCATTCGACCGGTCTTTGCAAATGTGAGACAACCTAGCGTGTTCCGTGAGCAGTTCAGAGAGAAGAGCGCCCTTTCCCAGATGGGAAGTTCGCCGGCTCTCCGGCTGCAGTCTGAATGAAGCCACGAGTGGGAGGGATGCGTCGACAGGAGAAACAAACCGTGGGAGCCAAGGCGCAAATGCACAGGTGACGGAATGGGCTTCACATTTGGACATAATGACTTTGGAGCAGGAATCACTCCAATCCTTGATAACCGACCCGATCCGAGGCAGCAGGAGCCCGAGAAGTAGGGCCAAACCCTGGGCCCGGGAACCTCGCGTCCTACCACGACCGGCCCTGCATCGCAACAGGGGTTCACAGGCAGACGCAGGGGACGCCCGGGAGCCTCCAGGCTCACCAGACACCGCAGCCTCTGGGTTCCAGACGCCGCAGGAATAAGGGCAGGAGAGAGGATAGGAGCGCAAGAGAAGAAGCGGGCCACGCACTTACCCGACAGCGACTGCCTGCACCCGCTCCGGCTCAAGCACTTCTGCAGCAAGAGCTGGTGACCCGGGCGGAGGTGGAATAAGGCTATAGAGCGCCGGGGGCGGCCCAAGAGCTGCGCGCAGCCCCGCCCACCTCCTCAGCCCCCATTGGCTACTGCCGGCATAAACCCCGCCCAGGACACGCCCTAGTCCCGGCTCGAAGGCTGCGGAGGCCGCATTGGACCCGCCGAGTCCAGCACTGGATCTTAAGTTCACGGAGACTGCGGAAGAAGCTGCCTGGGACTCGGTGACGCCCTCTGCGGCCTTGGATCTTGACTGCGCCCGCCGGGAAGGAAACTGGGAACGCGGCCATAGGAGTTGAGTTCTGTGTGTCCACGGGAGCCTCCCTAGTTGTTAGAGAACTTGAATTTACTTTTAACTCCAGCCTTTTATATGTGAAAATGCGCAAACCTACCGAAAAATTGAAGGAACCCTACTATGAACAGTATATCCCTTATCCAGATTTACCAACTGCTAACATTTTCCTTTTTCTAAAAAAAAGAATTTACTTAACTGTATTTATTATTATTATTCAGTTTGACCAGAGAGAGACAGAGGGAGAAAGAGATGAGATTTGACCAGAGAGAGACAGAGGGAGAAAGAGATAAGATTGAAAACAAATCACCAGGTCTGGGACTTGAACTGTGGTTGGTAATCTGTTACTTCAGCACCTTAACCACCGCCACCTGCGGGCCTCCATTTACGTTCTTTCTACTTGTATAGTTTTCTTCTCCCTGAGCCACTGGAAAGTTACAAACGATCTAGTTTCACCTTTTTTTTTTTTTTTTTTTTTTGGCTATAGGGCGCTTGCGCTGGCCAGACAGACAGAGACAGAGAGACAGAAAGCGAGAAATCAACCCCCAGGGGAGATAGTCATGCCGCAATCCCTTCTCCTCCATTCTCTTGGGATCTTGGGCACGCATGCACATGCACCCAGCGTGAGTTTTAAGCCACCGGGTCCAGGACGCAAACCGCGGTCAACTATGTGGGAGTCCAGCGACATAGCCATTACGCTAACTGCTGGTTCCCTAGTTTCACCTCTTAATGCCTCACCTTTATCACATACAAGAAATTTAATGCCATTTCAGTGAAATCACCCCACAGACTGTCCATATTTAAATGTCTTTTATTGGCCCCATATGTTGTACACACATAGGATCTGCTGAGGATTTACCCATTGCACTTGACTGCATGTCTCTACATAAACTCCTTCATAACTTTGGCATATCTCAAGTCTAGGTCAGTTGTCCTATAAACTATCGTGTTCTGGATTTATGAGATTGCTTCTTTAGATTAGATGTAGGCTAAACATTTTAGTGAGAAAAGTAGGAGGTGAAGATATGTATTTCCCATTGCCTCACATACAGAGGCATGGTTGATTTGACATCATTATCCATGATGTCAAAGTCCTTCCTGGTCAAAGCTGGCCTATATTTGGCCAGTGCAAATCTTTTCATGTAGCTTCTGTACCGTTTCATGTTTCCTATCAATCTTTGAGCACTTCCTTGCTTGGTGGCACAAGACCTATGAATTCTCAGTCTCTCTCTTTATATTGCACTTTGCATGAGGGGACTCAAAGGGTTCATCAAAGAATTTAAAGCATGAGTTCATTCTGGTGCAAAACCTATTTGAAATTCATGCCTAGTTTTCCGTGTATGTGTGTGTGTGTGTGTATAGAGCAATGAACAATATACCTTTTACCCAAACAGTAGCAGATAACATGGCCCCCACAACACCCACAGCACCTGGACATTGGACTACAGGAAAGAGAGGGCAGGTGAGAGAGAAGAGGAAGGTGAGAGGAGACTCAGGCAATGCACTTACAGGTCGGCAGCAGCTTCCACCTCCTCCAACTCAGGCTCAACTGCAAGATTGAGTATATATATATATATGTATATATATATATACATATATGTATATTTATATTTATATATATGGAGAGAGTACAGATATTTTATAATAAACATTTTATGTAATATATTTTTAAAGCTTATTTGATTTCTTTCATGTGTGAGAGACAGAAAGACAAGAGCCCTCAACTAGATCTCATGCCATGATCCTCTCCCAGCCTTTCTCTCCCAGCCAGGATCATGGGCATTGGCATATACAAGTCCACCTGGGAACCAAACCCTAATCTTCTCTATGGCTTCCAGCGTTGCACAACTACTGGGTCATTGCAGCTGGGCCATACCCACATGCATGCGTGACAGAAAAAGAATGAGAGAAAGAAAGCACCTCTTATGGGAAATGGTAATGCTGCGATTCCTTCTCCTCTGTCTCTCCCTCCTTTCAGGATTTTGGGAACTCCACACACAGATCTCTGTCATGTTTCTCAAGCCACTGGGTCTGGGACCTGAACCATGCAGTCAGCCATATGGGATCCAGCCACCTGAACCAGTACATCTCCTGCTGCCCCCCAGATGCGGTTTTTTGTTTGTTTTTTGTTTTTAAGATTTTTGCCAAAGGCCATGTGCACTAACCAGAAAGAGAGGGAAAGTAAGAAATTACCCCCCAGGAAAGATAGCCACAGAGCAATCCCTTCTCCATTCTCTCCTTGGAATTTTGGGTATGCACACCCAGGTACTTGGCATGTTTTTCAAGATGCCAGGTCTGGGACTCGAACCACAGAGTTTGCCATGTGGGATCCAGCACCTTCACCATTATACACCACTGCTAGCCCTGCCCCTAGATACATTTTTTAAATCATGGGTTTTACTATACTTCCAATTCAAAATCCAATACCATAGGGTTTATTCTAGCCTTTCGCTTTTCATATTTGTATCTTCCTTTATGGTGGAAAATCCTGGTTCCATCGGCATCACTATATTTACATGTGCATCCTGCCCTACAGTATCCCCAGAGGAGTAGAACCTTATATATAAGTACAACCACCAGCAACAAATCTTCTAATTTCAAGATTTCTTTGCAGTATTTTTTTCAATCTTTATAATATTTCTTTTCAAATGATGTTCAATTTTGTGTTACAAAATTACTTAAATTTACCCTTCAATATAATTATGTTATCAATTTAATATAGTGTTAGAGTTCTCATTTTTATTTATCAATTTTAGAGGCTTTCTTCAGCTTTTAAATTTATTTGTATTTATTGAGTTTATAAAGCATTCTCCCAGTTCAAAAATCAAAGTTTATGGAAGTTATACTCAGAGATGTCCTACTTCTATCCCTGTCTCCTGCACTCCATTCCCACTTACCCCCATCAGTAACTATCAATAATCTCCTATTAATAACTAACCATCATTAGTTTCTAGATCATTCTACCACTCTCCCCATTAAGTGTGTGTGTGTGTGTGTGTGTGTTCTATTTATCTGTTGCTTTATACCAAATTATTCCAAATTTAGCAGTTTAAAATGACAAACATTTGGAACTGGATAGTGGTGCAATGGTAAAGCATGATGTTCTGAGAGACTGACCCACAGGGAAAGATTCCAGGTTTGTGTCCAGAGACCTCCCTGAGTACAGTGAGCACAAACTTGTCATGATCTGGAGCTGACTGAGGATAGGAGCGGATCGCAGCATTAAGACCTTGTTGGGGGTGTCTCTCTCTTTCTCCTTCTTCCTCCCTCTCCTTCTCAAGAAAGAAATGGATACATTTTAAACAAACAAAAAACAAAACCAACTTTTATTACCTCACAGTTTCTGTAGGTCAGAAATGCAGGAACTGCCCCAGGTACCCACAAGACTGCAATCAGGGTGCCATCTGGGGCTGCAGTCATATTTGACTGCATCGTTTCAAAGCTCACTCAGCCTGGATGTTGGCAGCCTCAGCGGATCCTCTTTCAGGCTCACTCACGTGGCTGTTGGCAGGTTTCAGGTCTTCACTGGCTCTTGGCTGATGTATTAGTTTCCTGTGACTTCCGTAATTATCACAAACTGGATGACTTAAAAAAACAAACAAACAAACAAACAAACCAAGAGCTTTTTCTCTCACGGTTCTGAAGGCTTAGAAGTCTAAGAAGGCTTAGACGTCAAGATGTTCTGTCTGAAGTCTCTTGGGGACAACCTTTCCTTGCCTCTCTCCTAGCTTTTGGTAGTTGCTGACAATCCTTGGTGTTCCCTAGCTTGCAGCTCCAACCTTTGCCTCTGCCTTCACACGGTGTGCATTCTGTGAGTGTACCTCTGTGTCCAGATTTCCTTCTTCCAAGAACATCAGCCATTGAACTCAGGCCCACCCTGATCCAGAGTAACTTCACCTAACTAGATTGCTTCTACAAAGACCCTATTTCCAAATAAGGTACCAGGTGATCTAGGGCCTCCATATATTTTAGGGGAGAGATACAGTTCAACTCACAACAGCTGAAGAGAGTTTTCTGCATCATGGCCCTCTCCATAAAACTGACAATATAGCAGCTTGTTTCACCCTACAGAGAGAAAGATCTTCCAAAATAGATCACTATTGTGCTCTGATACAATAGTGTCATCCCCTACTTCTGCTGTATTTCTTTTCTTTTCTTTTTATTGCTAATAGTCTCACACATTTATGTGCATACATGTGAAAAGGAGAAAGCCCTCTCCAGTAGGATATGGTTATACCATAATCCTTTTTCCTTCATTTCTCCATCCCATCTGGATTTGGGGCTTGCATGCATGTAAATACACACCTAGCATGTTTTTCAAACCACCAAGGCTGGAATTTGAACCACAGCTGGCCATGTGACATCCAGCTTCCTATACGCAGCAGGTAACATCTGTGCTACCAGGCTAGCCCACTTCTGCTGTATTCTGTTGGCTAGAAGCAAGTCAATAAGTCCCTGCTACACACACACACACACACACACACACACACACACACCCCGATTCAAGGGGAAAGGACTAACTAAGGCCATGAATATCAGGAGGCTAGGGCCCTTGGGTGCCATTTTAGAGGCTGCCTACCATAACATACAACTTTCTTTTCTTTTTTTTTTTTTTTTTTTTTTTGGGGGGTTTTTTGTATTTTTTTTTTTTTGTTTTTGGAGAGGTTTTTGCTATAGGGTGCGTGCGCTCACCAGACAGACGGAGACAGAGAGACAGAAAGCGAGA